GGCCTATGGGATCAAATCCAGTGCCCACCTGTGCTTCACTTTCCTTACCACGAAGCCATTAGCCACCTTCTGCTGATGGTGTGGGAGCTATATTCTATTTAAAGAGCACCGACGTCCCCAGAAGCAGCAGATTAAAATGCATGAACACTTACTACTTGCTAATGATAATTCTGCTTCACGACAGAATAAAAAGTGTATCACTTTTTTTTTTTTTAAAGATTTTATTTATTTATTTGAGAGAGAGAGACACAGCGAGAGAGGGAACAGAAGCAGGGGGAGTGGGAGAGGGAGAAGCAGGCTTCCCGATGAGCAGGGAGCCTGATGCAGGGCTCGATCCCAGGACCCTGGGATCATGACCTGAGCCGAAGGCAGACGCTTAACGACTGAGCCACCCAAGCGTCCCAAAAGTGTATCACTTTTAACACAGAAGGCCATCTGGAGTATGGAATGCCTCCCCTTTCAATATGTGGTTTGACCTGCTAATTTTTTGTAACCAGTGTAATATGAATGACTGCTGGGAAAAATATTCAAATAGTGAAAAGCTGGGTGAAACTGCCAATGTTCAGGATAAGAATTCCCTTTATTGCGCGTGCACTGGGCTCTGTAGGATGAGGCAGAGAGCAGACTGAATTTGTGTAATGAAATCATTTGACAATGGAAGCGGGCAACTTTTTAATTTATATGATACATGACCAGGATATCTGTGTTTCAAAGTTTTAGTGATGGAAACATTGGATGGTTTACTGTGATGGGATAGAACTTTACCCTTAGCTGGCCTACACAACAAAATCTAAGGGCCCTATCTGAGGATTCTAGAAAAGCGGAATATTTAACTGAGGCGGCTTCTGCACCAGCCAGTCTGAGTTCGAACCCTGCCTCTGGTTTTCGCTGTGTGGTTTCGGGTAAATTATTTAATCTCCCCAGGACACCCTCATCGGCAAAATGAGGAACATAACAGTGCCTCTGTCATGGGGTTGTGTAAGGGTTTAGGGAGATTATGCATGGAGAGCTCCCCTGTATATGGTAAGCACTCAGAAAATGTTAGCATTACAGACAGGACTGCGGCTGCTGTTGTTCTTATTAATTATTCTTATTATTATTACTGTTATTATTGAATCTGGCCCCCGCCTGCCTCCCCACCTTATTTCCTGTCACTTTCATTCTGCACAAGCCCCAGCCAAACAGAGCTACTCACCGCCCCCTGTATGTGCTTGAAGCTTCTCTGCCTGCTTTTTCTTGCCCTTGCTGTGCATAGACTGAGCAACCACTTGGAGGGGATGTTGTAGAGGCGAAATGAAGCCACGGCAGGGAACTGGGTTGAATGAGAGCCCCCTGAAAGTTCCTCTTGGCTCTAAGATTCCATCAGATCGACAAAGTGAACGGGAGAGTTAGCGGGCACGTTTGACATTCTCGAGAGCGTTCTTTGATTCCTCTCTGCTTCGCCGGTCTCCTGCATTCATTTTTAGCACACTAGCCGAGGGAACCTTCTGTTCCATCACACTGAGCGCAAGGTGGAGCTGCCGCAGGTGGGAGTCCTGGAGACACACTCAGGTCGGGGACAGATGGCCCCGTTGGGTGGGCAGAGGCTCGGGAGACAGAGCCTGTGTGTTTGATCGCGAGCAAGCTTGCTTAGATTCTCTGAGCTTCAGGGTTTTCAGTAGTAAAATGCGGGTATTAATGCCCACTGCAGAGGGTGAGAATTGAATTAGATATGGTATACACAGAGCCCACTGAATATCCCTTCCCTGTCGTTAGGGAGGGGACTCGGGCTGTGCCTCTAAGGAGGTTTACCTGAACCGAGAGAGATCGCAGGGTCACCGGGGAGAGTGGGGTGCAGGCAGGGAGGGCAGATGGTAGGAGGCCCTGAAACCGAGACAAAGGGACCTGGGCTCGAGAAAGCAAAGGGTGGGGAGCCTTGCTGTGGTCACTTTCTTCTGTTCCTTTCAGCGCTCTGCACAGAATTTAATAGGTTAAAAATAATAGGACTAATTTTCATGTACCCAGACCTCTGTGGCTGTTTCTCCAGCCTTGGAAATAGCTACACATCTGCCCCAGGCCTACCCTGGAAAGGAAAATAAAACAGAGTGTGCCCTGACACCTCTTCCTGGTTGCACCGGGCATGGGCTTTGGAGGTGGGCCACCGTCCAAGGCAGGCTCTCTTGGCACATGGGTGCCGGGTGAGTTCTTCTCCCCGAGAGCCCCGAGCTTGGGAGCGCACCCTGCGGTTCCGTTGCTGCTCTCAGCCTCTGTCTTTCCACTCGGGATTGAAAACCCCCACCTCCATGCTGCTCGTGCCCAGCACACGCTAACCCACTTAGAACGGTAGCTTCAGTGAGGCGGGAACTAACCCTGACATGTGAAACATTAATACCGACAGGTTTGAATGATCTGGGGAAGAAAGCAAGATGGCTCGAGCCACAGGCTCAGAGTTTGGCTGAGCCGGGTTCAGGGACCTTCCTCGCTCAAGCAAGTCAGCTCAATGCAAGGCCCTAACTGTTTGAGCAAGTGCTCTCTCCCAGGCGCTGCGGGAAACAAAGCAGCCTGTCCCCTCACATGCTTCCTGATGATTCTCAGGCGCAGACTTGGGGGACCCGAGCGGGGGTGGGGGGTGGTGGTGGTGTGTGTGTGAAGACTTTTATGAAACCCTTAGCACAAATAACAGACGGTGGCTACCGGCTGAGTTATCACAAGGATGGATCTCTAAGCTCAGTTTCCCCATCTGTAAACCTCTCCTCATGGAGGGGGGGGGCAGCAGGGGGGAAAGGCAGAAGCAAACATGAAGCACCCATGACCGTGTCCGGCTCTTACAAGGCATCAACCAACAGGGGTTGTTAGTTTTTATTTGCTATAAAACTAACAAAAGCTCTCATTTTTACTGGTACTTTTTAAGAGAAATGACGAATCTAAAAACCTCCAAAATTTGCAATTCCAAACACTAAACATTATATTTTTCCCCTCAACTTTCCATCCTAAATAACAATAATACAGAACACTTACTAAGTGTCATGCACTGTCCTAAGCCTTTACAGGGCTCCCCATGAGCCCCATGAGGTAGGTTACTGCAATGATCTCATTTTACAGATGAGAAAACTCAGGCCCTGAAAAATTAATTCACATGGCCAGGGTCACACAACCCTTAAAAATATTCCTTTAGTTTGCGTTCTCCTTCATCTGCCTCCCCCCACTTCGGGCTCTCTCTGGGTCGCTGACCAGGGGCAAGGCAAGCCCAGTATGGAAGACTCTCTTCCTTTCAACGAGTCCCCTTCTTTTTTTTTCTGTCAATATCTAAACACAACGGAAGGCAGCTTGCTACCAGACGAGAAACATTCTCCAGGCATTTCCAAATTTCCACTCCTCTGTCTCTTCTGGAGACATGGCTCTGTTAAGGCCTAAGCCTTTCTAAGGAAAAGGCCTTGGGGAGAAGCAGCACTGGGTTGGTAGTGGCCTTCCTTTGTATCCAGAGACACCTGGGAGGAAAGAAGTGATTTCTGACGGCAGCTGGATGAGGCAACATGGAATCATGGAACTTAGAGACAGTGTATCATGCAACTGCCCGCTGCCATGGGCCAAAAATTCATCCTGCGTGATCCTTAACGAGCTTCCCCAGTGAAGGGAGCTCTCAGGCCAGTCAGCTAGGGTAGGGTCAGGGGGGAGGTGTAACCAGAGAGGTGACATCCTGTTTGAAGAGCAGAATGGCCGTCACCCACCAGAGCATGAACTGAGGAGCCAGACAGTCACCTGCCCCTGCCCCCCTTCCCGCCTCCTCCCCCCAAGAAGGAAGTCAAGTGGATAAAGAAATGGGGAAGTCCGAGCTGCTCCTGCAATGGCTTTTGAGGGTCTATCTAACACTTGACTTTAATCCTCACGGGACAAAAGCCTCTGCCATAAACACGATTAGCAAGGGGTTTCTGGAAGCATTTCCTCAGGATGAGGAAAGGGATAAAAAGTATTGTGTGTACTGCTTTGCGTCTCAAAATAATCTCAACTGGGTCTTTCCCAACCCGCGGGTCTTTTTGCTCTCACGTGCCATTTGCGGGCACGGGGCACAGTATTCGCGACTGATTCCAGCGGCAAGGGGGGTCACTGGTACTCACAGGCAAGGTGCCATTTTGAAAACTGCTCTTCTCTACCGAAATCTCCCATATTTCCGGATGTAACTTAGAAGCGCCCTTCAAAAACATCTTGTGCTGAAAAGGCTCTCTTCAAAACAGAGTGAGATTGTTACATTTTAATCTTTCGATTTTAGAGATGATGGGATTGCAGTCTTTGGCACTGGACACGGGCCTCCTTAGCAATCGCTTTTATATTTAGGAAAATAAGGAACAGGAAAGTAAAAGAACTTCCTTATTGTCAGGCAGCAAGTCAATGGCAGAGCTTGAACTTGACTTATTTTTCAAAACGGGGAGGCGTTGTACGCTATAAAATCCAGATAGATTAACCTCCAACCAGCAAATATTCCGGTTATTTGATTCGGGTGCTCACAAAAAATTACAGCGATGAAAAAATACGCATGTCACAGTGAGGAAACTTTTTTTCAAAGAATCACTTAAGGGTGCTTTACCTCCCACCCAATTTCAGGAGAAGCCTGGTGAGGAGACAAAGAGGGCCGGGGTGGGGCGGAGGCCCTGGGCTGGCCCGAAAGCTGAGTCACAGGAATCGCACCCCTGCAGTGGGCGAGGCCCTCCAGCGCGGCCACCGCACCCTCGCCCGGGGATGTCCGCGCCAGACAAAGCCAGCTTCGCAGTAAAGGAATGCCTGTCCCCCTAGGTACCACCCAGACCCTTAGTTATCATGCCTCGGTCCCCAAGAGCAGGTTGGCGCGGCTGTTGCAAAAATCCATTAGGATAAAATAGAACTAAGGAGGGACAATGCATGATGCAGGAAGTGCTGGGGGGAGGGGGCTCTGGCTCCTTTTAATTTTCCGCCGTCGTTGCGGTTAGGGTGCACTGGTGCACGCGGGGGGGGTCCCCCAAACGCCAGGCCCGCCTCCCGACGCCGGGGCCGAGGCGAGGCGCGAAGGAGTTAAGCGGGCCCGCGGGTGACGTCACCTCATTTACATACGAGCGCGCATATAGCGGCGCGCCGCGCGCCCCGCCCGGCATTCGGCGGCGGCCACTGAGCAGAGCGGACTTGACTTGCACGCGCACCTCGCTCCGGTGAGCCCCGGGGCCCCTGACTCCTACCCTCGGTCCTTTCCCGCCCGGCGCCCGCGCTCGCCTCTGGGCGCCCGTCTCCCTACGGAGGCATCCCTACAGCCGAGCCCAAAGGGTCCTCCCGGGGAAGCCTGCCTTGGGGTCTTGGGGATGCCAAACCCTTCCAGATGCTGGGGAACGGGGTCGGGAGCTTGGTGATTTAAAGACACCCCCCCCCCAAGCCGGGCGTTTGGCAGTGCAGTTCCGAGGGAACATTTTTTTTTTTTTTCCTCCCGCCCCGGGCATTCTGCACTGCCTCTTAGGCGGTGATTAATCAGGAACAGAAAAATCCTTTGTTCCGACTCACACCCACCCAAGCCCGGAGCTTCAACAATTACGTTTTTTCTGTAGTCTCTGATGGCTTCTTGGGCCGTATCTGTCCAGATTTAAGGAGGCTGGGCTATACTGTGAAATGGGGGGGGGGGGCAAACCAACCCTTCTTGCAGGGGAATGTGTGCGGGGGTTGCCGAATTGCCCCTAAATGCAGATCAAGCCTGGTTTATGGGGTGTGGGGCAGCTCGGTGCGCCGCCGGCTGCATTGTTGAGCGCGAGTGAGGAAGCAGTAGGGCGGTGGTCGGGGGCGCCGGCTGCAGCTGCCGCCTTTGTGAGCAGAGAAGAAAAGCAGCACGGGCCCACATCTTTGGAGGAGACTCATGGAAAATGGAAGCACTGTGCAGCCTAGGCTTCATTTTGAGAATTTTTACTCGATCCTACCACTCCCGCCCCCGAATTGAAATGGCCTCACTATTCTAGCCAAATTTTAATTTTCAAACGTTGTAACTGACAGCCCACGCTGGTCAGTTTCATCATTGAAAAGAGTCGCCTCCTAATGGGAGGGCAATCTTCCCAGTTTGGCCCCCCGCATTTGGAAATAATGAAGAGGGGTTCTTTTTCTGTGTAGAAAGAGGAAGAGCTGTAGGCTTGAATGAAAGCGGAAGGAGGCAGAGGTGGGGTTTCAGGCAAGGGATGTGAGGGCAGAAGCGCATTTCTGAGCCGGGAGAGAAGGGTGGGTCGCTTGCTCGATCTCACCCTCCCTCTTGGTTTTGTATATGCAGCTTCCTCTGCAACCATGTCTGACAAACCCGATATGGCTGAGATTGAGAAATTCGATAAGTCGAAATTGAAGAAGACAGAAACGCAAGAGAAAAATCCACTGCCTTCAAAAGAAAGTAAGCGCCCCCCCTCCCCCGCCATTAAGAAAAGGCTGGGCGGGAGGGAGGATGGGAGGGGCTGGGAGAAGGACCTGGACTGGGAAGGGAGGGGGCGGGGGGGAGGCGAGGGAGTGCGGGGGAGGAGCTGACAGTTTTTATGATGAATGTGGTCTGGAAAGGTTAATTAAAAATTGTTTTGCAGCCAACAAACAGGGCTTTAATAATTTAACAATCATGGGATGTTTGGTATACTATATTAATATGCAGTATTCTCATTTTATGTTAAAATTTTTTAATGGCCATATTTTCGCGATGGGACGACTTGATACTTGGCGGATTTTTATGATAATGGGAAGACACTGTAAACGAAAAGTACGATAATCTTACACTAGGGTGTACTGAGTCTGCCTAATGAGCTCCCTCCATTTTTTTTTCTTTTTCTTTCCTGTCACAGCGATTGAACAGGAGAAGCAAGCAGGCGAATCGTAATGAGGCGCGCGCCGCCAATATGCACTGTACATTCCACAAGCATTGCCTTCTTATTTTACTTCTTTTAGCTGTTTAACTTTGTAAGATGCAAAGTGGTTGGATCAAGTTTAAATGACTGTGCTGCCCCTTTTCACATCAAAGAATCGAGAACTACTGACAACGAAGGCGCCTGCCTCTCCCATCTGCCTGTCTGGCTGGCAGGGAAGGAAAAGAACTTGCATGTTGGTGAAGGAAGAAGCTGGGTGGGACGACAGTGAAATCGAGAGTAAAAACCAAGCTGGTCCAGGGTGTCCTGCAGGCTGTAAAATGCAGTTTAATCAGAGTGCCATTTTTTTTTTGTTCAAATGATTTTAATTATTGGAATGCACAATTTTTTTAAGATGCAATAAAAAGTTTTAAAACCTGCTGGTGTGCCTATTTGGTGTCTGGAGGGAGCGGCTTCCTGGCAGATGAAATCTTTGCAAAAGGGCCAACAGTGGCCTCACTGGGGGAATGATAAATAACAAAACATCTGGTAGTTGGGAAAATCGAAGAGTGCGTAGAGATGAGTTTCATCCAGGTATGTGAAACAATACTTCATGTGTACTAGGTGATTGGAAGGTTATTTTTTTAGGCTGCTGGAATTCCTAGTAGGAGTCCTAGGAAAACTTGCTAAAAATATATTTGCAGTTCTGGCCTTTTCACAGGGCTTGCTAAGCCAACACAATTAATTGCATCTGATGGAGAAAATGAAGGCGCTGGCAATTCACAGCACGGTATTTGTTTCGGGTATCAAACCGAACTTGGTTATTAAGCCAATTACCAGCGTTGACACAATTAGGATCTAAGCAGTTCGTCATAAGGGAAAAATTTTAACAGCTGCTTTGTAAAAATTCAAGACGTGCTTCCTTGCCTAACGGCTGGTTCCAGTATTCAAAATTGCTTTCATAAAATGATCTCTGCACTTAATGATTAATGAATATAATTTTAAAAGTATTGAGTCCTCAATTTGGATGAGAACAATCTTTGGATTTAAAGGACACTGCGACGAGGATGAAATTTGTGCTTAAATTCCTTAGAATTTAATTGGTACACTTCAAGGGTTTGCCTTTCTTGAGGCTGATAACTCCTCATGAAGTACGTGTTTTAACTGGTGGGCAAAAGCCAAGCCCTTTTTCTGGGACATTATGTACAGAAAGGGGAACGAGGCGTCAGCTTTTCAAAGTAAAAGGGATGTCATCAAACATCCTTAATGGATTCCTCTGTTCTGTCAGGGTGCAAGTATTTTTTTTCAAGAATAGTATGCCTTTTCTTAAATGGAAGCAGCATTTAAGGATGCCCATTCACCCAGTATCTCAGCAAATGTCCAGGAGGTCAAACGCTGCCCCCCAACCCCCAAGACTGAAGAAAGGGCCCTTTTGGAAGGAGAGGGTGGAGGGCAAGTTGTTGATCAGTATTAAACCGGTTGATTTCGTTTCCTTTGCTCAACACTTATTTCGAGAAATGCACAGGAAACCATTTACCTGTGGTTTAGACAGTCAACCAGACCATCAGCTAGAGGCGGATCTGTATATTGCAAGGGAAGGGCTGTGTGCCCACGGCTGCAAAACCCGAAGTGCCACAGCCTGCTCGCTAGAGAACCGAGCAGGGAGCACGAAGGTCTGGGAGCCTTCTCAAGATGGAGCCGGCCTCCAACCCTGCTTTTTCTTTCCCCCCACCGCAAGGAAGGGTGTGGGCAAAATGAAAATGCCCGAGGCACAAAGATAAGCCAAGCCCGCACGTGTTTTTGCTGTGTACATTTTTCAGACAATGCAGAGATGAAATCAGGTTTTAAGAAATTAGTCCCAGCATTCTCCAGTTCAAAAATAAAAATAAGCATTAAAAGGGGAAAGGGATGATTCATGAAATAATGAGGGAGAAGGGAGAAGACCTTCCTGTGCTGAGAGGACAAAGCTAAAGCACAGCGGGGGCTGGCGGGTGGGGGGGCGCGGGGGGGGGGGGAGAAAAGAAGAAAGTAAAATGAAAAATCTGGTAATTGAGTTTGGGCTGCGTGGTGTGTGGGACGCGGGGAAATGCAGAAGCTTCAGCACATATCACCCTGTGCACTTAAGTGCTGCACGGGGAGGTGGGGGGCACTTAAAAAAAATTTTTTTTTAGATTTTTATGAGTGCATTCTTTTTTCTTCCCAAGATAGGATCTTCCCAGAAGGGCCTGGGGGTATTTATGAATCCAGAGGGGAATTTATACTGCTATTAGGAGCTTGAGGTGGACAGTCTTCTCAGACGCCAAGGGGACTGGACTGGAGGTTCCCCATTTGACCGAGGGACCGCGCAAACTGAAGGAGACCCTAGCCACTGCATCTCTGACCCTCTCCCCTCCCCCAGGAGGAAACAGGCCAAGGTTGCTTATGTAAGAGCCGAGGGTCACACAGTCCTGTGTGGGACTTCCGCAAATTTTGAATTGATCAGGCCCAATGAAGCAAAAATAGAGGAAGTGAAAAGAGGCTCACCAGAGGACTCTGGGGACAGAGCCTCATTCATTTCCAAACCTGGCACATTTCTCAACTATCGCGTCCACGTTGCTCAGTCTTCCAATGCATGGAACTTTAAAGCTACTTTACTCTTTGAGGAGCACAACACAGCTTCTGGGCTGTCTGCAACGACAGAATGTGCACTGAGGGGGTGGGGGTGGCGGGGAGGCAGGCGAAGTCTGAGACATGGAGCCCCTCTTCTGTACAGGGCCTCTTCCGGCCCTGACCATCACCGCATCCTCCCCACACCTTTGTGAGTTAGATATTGTCTCCTTCAAATGCACTAGGAAGATCTCTTGATTTCCCTAAAGAAGCATCTAACTGCTCAAGACGCAAAACTAAAATAATTTTCTACCCTTTCTAAACGTATGGGGCCAATTTTGTGCTTACTAGAAAGAACAGGAAATTTTGGAAACAACATTTTGGCAAAAAACAAAACCAACAAAAACCCCACACCCAAAACTTGAGCCTTTCTTAGTTTAAGATTGTAAATTGAAAATACTATTTTAAGATTATTTATTTATTTATTTATTTGAGACAGAGAGAAAGAGAGAGAGAGAGCACATGAGAGGGGGGAGGGTCAGAGGCAGAAGCAGGCTCCCTGCTGAGCAGGGAGCCCGATGCGGGACTCGATCCAGGAACTCCAGGATCATGACCTGAGCCGAAGGCAGTCGCTCAACCAACTGAGCCACCCAGGCGCCCCTGAAAATATTATTTTATAACTTTGCAAGCACTTCGCACTTGACTTATCGTAGTAGCCTTCACTGTCCGAGCAAGAGAATAAGGAAAAAACCCTCCCCAGCGCCCCGTATCTCTCACTTTTAAGAGAGCCTTACAGTGCAATCTAAGAGAATTAAACACACCGATTTGAAGTTCAACTATATTTTATTTGAGTGTCTTGAGAAGAGGCCATATTACAAATTTAAGACACAGATGTGCAATGAAGTAAGCTAAGAAGAAAAGGTTTCTAAGGCTTATATTTACCCGGCTTATTTTTTCCCTGGATACTTACTTGTACTCTAGCCTCTTAGCTCTCTAATCATACAGTTGTGCTAGGACCGTCCCTACTCTTGGCTTCTGAGACTTTTGTGGGCATGATATGTGTGTACCCTACATTCCTACTCCTGTGTGTTCCCTTCTGTGTCCAACAGGGCCTTGCCTGGGAATGGGCACATCTTAGGGCTTCAGTATACACTCTTCTGCTCTTAATGGATGGAGAGTTCAGGTAACATGATTGTTTTGGGGTACCTTTGAATATGTGAACGTCATATTAAATAGCCCAATTTTAAATATATGTATTTTTGTAAACTTACTTTGAAGTGGTGTTTTAATCATTTCACAGATAACAGTAATCATTGCTACTGATAATTAAACAAATGGTTGTCAGTGGCCAATGGCCAAAGAAAGCCATAACTTAGAAGCAGTCATACCAAATTCCATGGAATGTTCTTCCTTTTTCTGTGACAGTCTCAGACTAGAATGGCCAGCCAAGCACATTGGCATTGATTCCATATAGTAAGCCTCATTATGCTTTCGCTTGGCCTCACATATATATATATATTTTTTTAAATATTTTTTAATCAAGGACATTATACAGGGACATTTTCCTCAGTACTTATCGCTAATCCCCACCTAAATGTAATGCAAAGAAATTCAATTCACAGATAATGTGGAATCTCCACTTGTGAAACCGAAGAATTATTTTACAAATATATTTAAAGAGCTTGGATGGCTAATTTGCCATTGTCCTTGGCTGTGCTGATTTTGAATCAACATTTACAGCCAACTACATACTATTGAGCTGGCTCATTAGTTCACCCCACCAATATTTATTGAATGTCCAGCCCATGCCGGGTATTTATTAATATTATTATTTTATTTGCCACAGAGATACAGTCATGAGTAAGATGCAGTCCCTGCCCTCATGTATGTTCCCTTGGCTAAAGATGTCCTTTTCATCTAAATCTGAGTAGAAAATGCTAAGAAAGTTTTCCTTTTCATTTTTAGGGTGAATGATGAACCTAAGAGCTTTGAGGTTTGTGTAATTTAAAAGAAAAAACAACAACAACAATGTGTTTTTTTAAGTGAACTCTATGCCCAACATGGGCCTTGAACTGATGACCTTGAGATCAAGGGCTGCAGTCTCCACCAACTGAGCCTGCAGAGCGCCCCAGGGCTTTGAGTTTTCAAATATGTATTAAAATCTATTCTTTGGGGCGCCTGGGTGGCGCAGATGGTTAAGCCTCCGACTTGACTTTGGCTCTGGTCAGGGTCATGAGCCCCACATCGGGCCCTGCGCTCATCAGGGAGTCTGCTGGAGATTCTCTCTCTCCCTCTCCCTCTGCTCTCCCCCAAATAAATAAATAAATCTTAAAAAAAAAAAAAGTCTATGCTTTACCATGGACTTTTCCCCCCAAATGTATCTATAACGATTCCATTCAAACCCCTCCAAAAGCTCGATGGTGAATGAAATTTGATGGAAACCAATTGATTCTTTGCACCACAATCAAATATTTTGTCAGCATAGAGAGATTGGGCATAATAACTCTTGCTTGTTACCTTTTTATTTCATTTTTTTAAATCTTTACACCCAATATGGGGCTTGAACTCACGACCCTGAGATCAAGCATTGCATGCTCTACGGACTGAGCCAGCCTGGCGCCCTTTGCCTGTTACCTTTTGATAATCCATTATGAGGGATGCCCAAGATTCATGAATGGACTGAAATTATTTTAAATTCTTTTTCTAGGATTGTATGATTTAGATGCTGAATTTCCAGAGAAACACTTCTTCTTGCCAAATCCTTACCCTTCTTTTGTTAGCCTTCTTTCTCCAGTTCAGCTGTAAGATAGTTGGGGCAGAAACAGTCACTTGAATGTTGCAACCCCCCCGCCCC